ACCACCATCACCTCCACCACCTCTACCTCCAACACCCCCCCCACCTCCACCTCCATCACCACCTCCACCACCACCATCACCTCCACCACCTCTACTTCCAACACCCCCCCACCTCCACCTCCATCACCACCTCCACCACCACCATCACCTCTACCATCTCCACCTCCGTCACCACCACCTCCAATGTCACCATCACCTCTACCATCACCTCCACCACCTCTACCTCCACCACCACCTCCACCATCTCCATCACCACCACCTCCAATGTCACCGTCACCTCTACCATCACCTCCACCACCTCTACCTCTACCACCACCACCTCCACCACCACTTTCACAACATCCCCACTACCACCTCCATCATCACCACTATCCTCATCAATCATTTCCACCACCATCACTGGCATCTCTACCACCATCCTAGCCCCTCTCTTTATTGTCTGTTTCCTCACCAGTTCCCCGACCCTCTCTCCTGTTAGCTTCCAGCTACTACCTCCCCAGTGTGACCACTACTACTACCACTACCTCCCACCCTAGAGCCCTTACTCACGTCAACTTGGAGACAGTCTTCTCTAAGACCACTAGGCTAATTGTGAAGCTGGACCACAGGGGCTGGGGGCTCAAAATAGCCTCTCCCCTGCCCCTCGCCCAGCGGAATTCTGTTGTAGCAGCCCCAGGGACCCACGACCAGCCCGCCTGGGGTCTCCTGACGGATGCTGAACCTCTGTCCCATTCCTCAGGGGTCCCGGCCTTCCTAGTGCTGCTCCTCCTTGCTGTCAAGAGCTCAGCTTACGGACCCCGCACGATCCCAGTCTCCGACAGCCAGGGAAATAGCACAGGTTTCCAGAACATGTCCATGTGAGTGCCCTCAGGGCTGCAGCAGGCTCTGGTACTGGGGCCAAATAAGGGCCACATGGCCCCGGGGCTCTGAACGGGGTGTCCTGTAGGCAGGGTGCTGGCTGTGGGGCAGGGAGGGGCCACTGCTTAGACGGGGGGCTTTGCCGCACCCTTCCGCTGGATCCCCAAGGTCTCCTGCGGGGCAGGCTCGTGTTCCATGCCGGCTACCTCTAGGAAGCCATGGCATGGACTCTGGCGCCCGCTCACGGCCTCCTGGCAACACACAGCTGTCGGCCCAGCCACCCTTGGGCTCTCCGCCCCTGCCGGTGGAGCTCAGCCTGCGCCTGCCTGTTCTCCCTTCCCACCGCCTTGCTTCGCTCGCTCCGGCTCCAGCTCCCCCCGACCTGTGTCTGGCACGGCACTGCCAGCCCTCACACCCTCCGAGTCAGAGAAGAGAGTGTTGTGGGGGCTGGGACACCCCAGAGACCGGGCTCAGCAGGTGCGGGGGTGCGGTGCAAGGAGAGGCGTTAGAGGTGGGCCCAGGGGGCCTGGGGGACGGACTCTGCTGCCTCTTCCAGCGCCCTAGGACCTTAACCTTTTTCCTGTTATGAAAAGTTTCCAACAGCCGACATCAAGAGAATAGCTAAATAAACCCCCTAGACCCATCACCAGCAGTTGGCCATAGTTTTCCTGGCTTGGCTGACGCAAGCTCAAGATCGCTGAGGGCCGGCTCTGTGGCGGGCCTGGTGTATCAGCCTGTTTAATCCTCACAACACGAAGTAGGTTCTGTCGTCAGCCCTTGTTTACAGCTGGGGAAACTGAGGCACAGATGGCTTAAGAGCTGGTAAGAGGCAGAGCTGGGACTTGGTCACGGGCAGGCTGGCTCCAGAGCCGGGCCCCAACCACTGCCCCTCGTGGCCTCCGGGAGGTGAGGAGTGGAGCCGAGGGGGTTAGCTCCTCTCGTGTGAGGGTTGGGTCGTTTCCCAGAGGACGTGTGACCCAGGACTCTTTAAACCTGTGTTTCATTATATAATATGTGACGTGGACAAAAGAGCTGAAGTGAGCCTTCTGCAGGACAGGAGGCAGACGAGACAGGACATCAGGGGACTCCCCACTAAGAGCCAGCTTCTCCCCCGTCTGCCCGCCTCTCCCTTGCCCCTCTTTCCCTGGATTTGGTGACTTTCATTCTCCTGCACTTAAAACACTCGTACTGCATATATACGTATTCTTAAAAATTTTTCTTTTAATTTTTAGTTTTTGTAAATTGAGGCATAATTGACATATTATATTAGTTTCAGATGTACAACATAATGATTCGATATTTGTATATATTGTGAAATGGTGAATCTAGTTAGTATCTGTTACCATACATAGTTACAGAATTTTTTTTCTTGTGATGTGAATTTTTAAGATCTACTCTCTTAGCAACTTGCAAATGTGCAATACGGTGCAATTAACTATAGTCATCATGCTGTACATCACATCCCCAGGAATTATTTATTTTATAACTGGAATTTTGTACCTTTTGACTTCCTTCACCCATTTTGCTCACCCTCCACCCCCTAATCTGTTCTCTGTATCTATGAGCTTGGTTTGTTTGTTTTTTTTTTAGATTCCACATATAAGTGAGATCATACAGTATTTGTCTTTCTCTATTTGACTTATTTCATTTAGCATAATGCCCTCAAGGTCCACCCATGTTGTTGCAAATGCCAAGATTTCATTCTTCTTTATGGCTGAATAATATTCCATTATACACACACACACACACACACACACACACACACACCCCCCACATTTTCTTTATCTGTTCATCCATCGATGGACACTTAGGTTGTTTCTATATCTTGGATATTGTAAATAATGTTGCAATGAGCGTGAGGGTGCATATATCTTTTCAAGTTAGTGTTTTTGTTTTCTTTGGATAAATACTCAGAAGTGGAATTGCTGGATCATATGGCAGTTCTATTTTTAATGTTTCGATGAAACTCCATATTGTTTTCCATAGTGGCTGCACCAATTTACCTTCCCACCAGCAGTGCACAAGTGTTCCCTTTTCTCCACATCCTCACCAGCACTTGTTATTTCTTGTTTTTTTGATAATAGCCGTTCTAACAGGTGTGAGATCACACATATACGTATTCCTAAACACAAACAGCAATTTGAAAAAACCCTTGAAAATAACTCCGATGCCCACTGACAGAACCTGCAATAATAATGTGGCAGAGCCGCCCTGCTAGATGGTTATCTGGCGGTGAAAGGAATGGTCCACAACCACACTCACCAGCTCAGAGGAATCCCAAAAATCATGAGCAAGGCCCTGTGTGACTGCGGTGGCAGGAGCCCGAGCAGGTGATGGTGAACAGGGCTCAGGCTCTGGGCTCAGACCATGGGGCCGCATGTCCCACTTTTGCCTCTTGCTAGTGTGTGTTCCTAAGCCAGAGCCTCAGTTTCCTCATCTGTAGGATGGGGATGATTACCTACCTGCCTCATAGGGTCACTGTGAGGATTGAATGGGCTAATCCACCGAAAGCATGTGACACCGTTTCTGGGCAAAGTCAGCACCTGTCTTGCAGGTGTCTTGGGGAGGCAAAGGGCGTGAAGCCCTCAGGGAGGGTCTAGGACCAGGGCTGGGCCCCCAGCAGGCCTTGCTGGCTCTCCCCTCAGCCGTGGGTGGAGTTTTCCTGCTGCTCCGTCTGCTCCTCCGTCGACACATGGAGAGCTTGCAGCAGCTCATTCACTGCTCAGAGAAGGGCGAGGTGGCCCAGTCTAGGTGGGGAGGGGGTCCTGGGGAGGGTGCCCGTTGCACAAAGATGGTGATGAGATGGTGGTCACTATGTGGTGGGTGGAAGGAGAAGTTTCCAGCAAAGAGGACCCTGGATCAATGATCCAGTGGAGAGTTGGGTGTACAGGATGGGAGGGAGGGTTTTCAGGTGGGTAAAGGCATGGGGGCATGAGAGAGACTGGCGTGGCTGGAAAGGAGGCATGTGGGGGCTTCAGGCAGGGAGCGAGGTGGCAGGTGGGCCCTATCGTGGTGGCCTGGCTGGAAAGCCAGGCCCAGGACTTCACCACGTGTGCAGGCAGGCAAGAAACAACGGGTCTGAGCCGGGAGACGGGCCTGGATTCCGGAGGCAGTTTAGGGGCCCAAGAAACCATGGGAACGCCCGGCCCACACCGATGCTGGCACTTCGCCTCCCACCCCCCACAGGTGCTGGGTGCGGAGCCCTGGGGTGCACAGCGTCCTGGTCATGGGCTATGGTGGCCTCACGTCCCTCTTCAACCTGGTGGTGCTGGCCTGGGCGCTGCGGGCCCTGCGCAGACTGCAGGCGCGGGAGAAGGCGCCGGGCGCCCGGGCCTGCCGGGACACCGTCACCGTGCTGGGCCTCACCGTGCTGCTGGGTACCACCTGGGCCTTGGCATTCTTCTCTTTTGGCGTCTTCCTGCTGCCCCAGCTCTTCCTCTTCACCATCTTCAACTCGCTCTACGGTAGGACCTGTGGGCGGCCGGGAGGAAGCCCCCGGGGGTCCTGTACAGCTGGTAGATGTTTAGGTCCAGAGGGCGAGTTGGGGGCTGAAATCTAGCCCCCTGACAAGCTGGTTTGGGGCTACATCTGCTATAGGAAGGGGCGCCACCTTGTACTTTGCACAAAGGCACCCTGTGGGCTAGAGTGGCCTGGTCCTCCAGCTCCTACGCTTCGCCCCTTCTGGCCTCCACCAGTAAGGGGTTCTGAGAGTTTCTCCTGGGCCTCAGGGAGGCCCCCCAGCCAAGGAGGCCCCTGGATTCTGGGTGAGGCCCCACGCTGCTCCCGCGATGCTCCCGTTGACCAGCCTTTTGCTTACAGGGTTCTTCCTCTTCCTGTGGTTCTGCTCTCAGAGGTGCCGCTCGGAAGCAGAGGCAGAGGCGGCGATGGAGGCATTCATCTCCTCCCAGACAATGCAGTAGTCTGGACTTCCTGGCCGGGAACCCCCAGCCTCCCTGGTGCCTGCAGCCCGAGGCCCTCGCTTCCACCAGAGAAGGTGGCAGGCCAGCCGCTGGACACCAGAGGCCGCTGTGCGCCCCCCCCCCACCCCAGGCTTCTCCACCTCCGTGGCTTCCCCAGGCCCAGAGGGCAGGGTGTTGCTCTGCCTCCCCTGGCATTCCGCTCCAGGGACAGCAAACTTTACCCCGGTGCCTGGGCCTGGCTCTGGGTCTTACTGTAGACCTTGGGTCTGTCATTTCTCGCTGACTGTTGGTTTCCACGTCTGTGACATGGAGCAGATGGCTCCCATCCTGCCTAGCCCAAGAGCTCGGTGAAGACTGAATAAGACCAGGGAGGAGGAGGGTCATAGCGGCCCCATTACCTCTGCCTGCCTGCTGGGGGCAGGGCCCCGGCCAGCCTGCGCTGGAAGTGCCTACTGGGCCCTGCCACCTTCCTCCTGAGGAGGGTCTGACCGCGTCCTGCTTAAAGACCCACCCAGTGTCTGAGACCTCACCAGCCGGTGCCCAGGGCCTCTTTTCCCTTAACCTCCCCAAATTATGATGTCCTCAACTCCAAGCCCACCCTTCGCAAAGATCAGGAAGTCCCATCTTTCCCAGAGGCTCCTCCTCCAGTGCTCCCAAGACCCCCATTAGCCATTTAGACCAGCAGCTGGGGCTATAGAGCTTCTTTAGGGCAGGAGGGGAGGGCTCTTTCCCTCCACCTGAGCCCGCTGGGCCCAGGGTCCTGGCTATTTGGTGACTGGGTAGCATGGAATTTCCCTTGGTGGGTGTGAGGTCGTGGTGCAGAGAATCACCATTGCCCTGGACCTGTCGTCAGACCAAGCTGGAGACCCAGGAATCCAGAGCCTTTCCCAGGCTGCACACCAGGGGGTGCTGTTGGCCTGTGCTCAGAGGCTATTGGCTCCAACATCATGTCTGGAAACGCCCGGGTCACCTGTCTGAGGACAGGACACACCAGGTGGAGAGGCTGTGCCTCGTGGACTGCGCCTGCTGAGTGATGGGCAGGGGGAATGCTCGCGCTGTTTTCACGGCCTTTTCTCTTTCCCCAGCGAAGCTCTGGCTCTCGGGGTCTTGTGCTCTGGGCATATACCCGGCACTGGAGCAGTGGCCTGGGATAGGGCCCTGCTCCAGGCCATTGGACAGATTTTAATGACTTTGAAGGGCACAGGGAGGGAATTTGAGATGGATCCCTTTTGTTCTGCCCACTGTTCATTTCTTGATGCAAATAGCCCTTCACTAGGTGATCAGTGGTGCAAGTTCTGGCGCCAGACTGCCCGGGCTCAGAGGCCAGCTCTGCCACTTGCTCACTGTGACGACGATGGACAAGTCACTCAACCTCTCTGTGCCTTAGTGTTCCCATCTGTAAAAGAGGGGCATTAGTAGTACCTATTTTGAAGATTAAATAAAATAATCCGCATAAAGACACTTAGCACAGGGTAAGTGGTCAATAAATGGTTGTTATTGTTATCATTAGTATTTTTGCTATTATTGTTAACAGTGTCATCTGGGTCTCAGAGGCCAACCCCTCCAAGCCCCAGGCCCGGGTCTGCTAACGTCACAGGCCCAGCTCCTCATTAGGCACGTCCTGCTCTCCCTTGGCTTTGCCACCTCCTCCTCCACGTTCCCCAGAGTGGCCTCTTCTCCAGCCTTGCTGGCCTTTGGCCATTTTAGGACTATTCCCCACACAGTGCAGCCTCCAGCCATTGCCACATGTCCCCCCACTCCTCAATTTCTCAGTCTTCTGATCTCTTGAAATTCCCAGTGGCCTATTTATCATGTCGCCCATGAAATCTTTCCAACTGCCCCATAGAGAAGGTCACCTTCCCGCCTCGACTCCAGGTAGAGTGTCCCCTCACCTCTGTCAGGTGATGTGAGTCCCCATCTGACGTCCCCTGGTTAGCCCAGCCCTGACTTGTTCCAGGCCTCCAGGCCTTGGGGTGGGCCCCCATGCTAATGAGGGGCTGAGGGATCACGGGAAACTCTGGCCCCTCTCTTGAGCAACTTCGGGGAGTGGTAACCTAGGCTGGGGAAGCAGGGCCTTGCCTGGGACCCCCAGCCCCACCCCCAGCCCCAGCCCCTTAGACTCTGCCAAGCCCAGGGCTGCCCAAGGGAGGATGTGGCCACAGCGACGGGATAGGGTCGGCAGTTCTAGGAAACGGCCCCAGATGTGTGGTCCTGAGCCTGGTTAGGGTCTAGGCTCTGGGCAGGGACCACTTCCCGGAAATGCCCCACATGAGTGTGGGGCAGGGATGAGGGAGACTGTGCTGGGCCTCTGGCCCCCTGCCCCCCTCCCAGCAGGGTCCTGGCCCAGCTGAGCACCAGACCCAGCTCTTGGGGGCTTCCAGGCCAGCAGGAAGATGGAGCCGGAGGAGCCTGGGGGCCACTGTTCAGGGCCTGGGACTCCAAGGAGGCACTTGGTGAAGGATGATAAGTAGACATCAGAGGCCGCAGTTTAGTGGTTTCTGTGTCGCTCTGTGGCTGTTTCTTCAGAAACGCACAGTGTGTGTATGTGGGGAGGTGTGTTGAATGAGGATTGCCAGATAAAACACCAGGCGCCCAATTTGGGGGACATACGCTAACAAATTATTCATCGTTTATCTGAAATTCACATTTAGCTGGGCATCCTATAGATCTCTATCCGTCTTTCCTTTCCTCTTTTTTTTTTTTTTTTTTGCTAAGTCTGACAAACTATTTGAAAGGAGCATTGGCTCAGGGGTCCAGGGTGTGCACTCTTTACCCTTCAAATCAACCCACCATATGCTGACTGGGGGCCCCTCTGTCCACGGAATGAGCCCTGCACATTTAGGCAGCCTCAACTTGAGGTTCCTCCTCAAGTGTCCCCTTGTCAGCCAAGGTCGCCACCGGGATGCTCAAGGGGTCTGCCTTGCAGTAAGCCCCCATCAACCCTGGCCCAGACCCAGCCTCCATCCCCTGCAGAGCCTCCGCATGGCCTCCCTGCCTCCCTACTCCCAGGCCGAGCTTCACTCAGAAGCCAGAGGGAATTTTCCACCCTGCAGCCTGACTATGTCCTTCTCTGCTGAAACCCTTCTGCATTCTCTCCCTCCTCATTGCCAAACTCCCCACGGGGGCACACAGGCCCTGGGATCCAGCCTGTGCCCGCTTCTCCAGCCCACCTCCCACCGCTCCTTCCTCACCCTCCCCGATCCTGCCACACTGAACTACTTTAGTTCCCTGAACAGGTTCTTTCTCACCTCCAGGCCTTGGCACAAGCTGTTCTCTTTGCCTGGAACACTGTTTCTCAGGCCTTTCGTTTGTAGAAAGATGACAACACTTCCTTAGGATCTCAGCTTTTCACCCTCCCCTGACCTCCAAGATCTAGGACGGGGCCTTCTCTCGGCTCCACACCCCTGCCCTTCCCCATGAGAGCAGTTATTTCTCTGTATCGCAACTGTCTGTATCCCCGCCTGTCTCAGTGCCGGACTGAGCATTTTGGGACAGGTCCGATGCCTCATTTGCTCATTCATTCATTCATTCATCCATCACGTAATTGCTAAGCGCTCGTCATATTCCAGGCTCTGCGCTAGTTGCTGAGGATATGTAAATGGACAATTCATCATATTCTAGTGGAATAGGGTGTCATACAATAAGCAATTCAACAAACAAATGTGATATCATGGGTGGTGACATGTGCTGTGGAGAAAAACAAAGGTGGGAGAGGGTATAAAGTGGCCGGAGCTCAGGTTTCAGCAGAGGAGAGCTGGAGAATGACCCAGGGGTGCTGGAGTTGGGGGCGCGGGAGAGTTCAGAGAGCTGGCCTGAACCAGCTGGTTGCCTAGAGGAAGGGCTGGTCCCAAGGCCAGAGTCCTCTAGAGATTTTGCCATGTGGTGATAGTGATCTTTGGGAGAGCTGGGGGTGGGGAAGATGGGAAGTTGTGCCTGCTCTGAGAAAAACCTCTCGAGGGGGCTGAGGTGGGCCCAGGTTGGGGTGCCCTCTGCTACTGGCAGGAGCAGAAGCAAACTCAATGTGGAGGAAAGCTCCCCCACCACAGGCCAGGGGGACCCCCACAGAGGGAGATCAACTGATAAGCTTAAATATAAAACTTACCAAATCACAAGAAGGCAAGTCACCATGAGTGACAGCAGAAAAAACAGATTTAGACTCCCAGGAGGCAGAATATAAAGTAGCCATATACCAGATGTTTAAAAAATAAAGGGTGGGGGCCGGCGCTGTGGCTTAGCGGTTGAGCGCACGTGCTCCGCTGCTGGCGGCCCGGGTTCGGATCCGGGCGCGAACCAACGCACCGCTCCTCCAGCCATGCTGAGGCCGCGTCCCACATACAGCAACTAGAAGGATGTGCAGCTATGACATACAACTATCTACTGGGGCTTTGGGGAAAAAAACAGGAGGAGGATTGGCAATAGATGTTAGCTCAGGGCTGATCTTCCTCACCAAAAAAAAAAAAACTCCCATTAAAAAATAAAGGGTGCAATTATAAAGATGAGCTTATAAAACAAATAATGATGAAGAGGGAAATATGGGGGGAAATGAAAGATATAATTTCAAAATCTAAAATTTGATGAATGGTAAACAGTTGAATAGAGAATTAGTGAACCAGAAGCTGTATGTGGAGAACGCAGCAAAGAGAAATAAGGAGGCGGATAACACGAAAGAGAGAGTAAGAGATATAGAGAATAGAAGGAGAAGATCTTAGATATTGGAGTCACAGAAGTAGAAAATAAAGAGAGTGGAGGAAAGGCATCACTGGAAGGCATAATGGGTGCAAATTTTCTAGAAGTGATGAACAACAGATCTACAGAACCAGGAAGCTCAAAGTATCTAAGCATAATAAACAAAAAGAAATCCATACTTACACAGTTTTACTGAAACTACAGAATGCCAAAGGCAGAGAAATGCTGAAAGCAGTCAGAGAGAGAGGTCGGATCATCTACAAGGGACAACAGAGCGTGAGCTGACTTCTCAACAAGCACACGGAAGCTAAGAT